CGACACAACTCGTTGTACTGGCGTTTGTGGTAATTGTCAGCACCGGTAGTCTCGGCGAACAGCTCCACATAACCCAACACAATGGCGAACGCCTTGTTATGGACGGCCGACGCGAAGTGCATCAGCAGCTGATCCATCGCTGTCTGCGTTTTGCCCAACAGTTCGTAGGCTTTCATGAGTCGCACATAGAGTTGACGATTGAATGACAGACACATCCGACTCAACGCCACATCGATCTGCTCTTCCGTCACATCGAGAGTGTCCTGAAGTTTGGCATTGAGTTCGCGGATGCACTGGAAGTGTCTCATCGACTGCACCACTCGATGGCACTCCACGTACAGCCGAATAGCGCCGGTGTAGTCCTCGTCCTCCTCGAGCAGCTCCCGGAGCCGGACGTCCGTCTCCTGCAGCGTCTTAATGGTCTGCACGGACTTCAGGAGACCCCTCAACACCTCCCGCCGGCGATGGGAGGCCACGATCGCCAGCGCGCGGCCCGTGAAGTCGCCCCGACATCGGTCGAGAGACCGGCGCCCAGTCGTGCAGACTTTGATGGCGTCCGATAGGGAGGCCTGCAATCGCGTCACTCTCTCCAACTCCGACTCGTATTTGCATTCATTCTTCAGTATGAGTTCCGACACGCGGGTCGACACCACCGACAACTGGCGCCGCAAACGGCGCGTCCGCTCCGACAGCCAGTCGAGTGAGAGGACGGCCGGCAGTCCGTCGAACGCCAACTCGTCCTCTGTTTGGGGCTCAGCGCCGACCGCCCGGAAGTACTTCGCGTCGATCGACTCGAGTATCGCCGCATCCGTCTCCGTGTCGGCGGTCGTCGGGTCGGCCGTCGACTGTCGGCTCGACTTCTCGCGCGCGTACGTCTCCAGTGATGTGTCGGTCGCCCTCCAGGCGCTCAGCACCTGATCCCACGTCTGACCCGTGTTTTGGTGCTGAGACCGGTCGCCACTCGACGCCTGTCCACTCAGTCCATGGTTTGATGAGCTCTTCGGGCCGTAAATCAGATAATTAATTGATTGTTACGTTTGATGACCACTTCGTGGGATCTATTCGTGTGATAATATCAATACCTTTTGGATTATAGACTTCAGACTAAACTTCTTCTTGGAGTCCATCCGATGCCGTGAT